CCCCAAAACCCCAAAACCCCAAAACCCCAAAACCCCAAAACCCCAAAACCCCTCAATCTAACGAGAGATTGAAACACTACTTCTCGGTATCTAGAGAAGTTCTGCTGTATTCCAAAATTGAAAAGCGACAAAATATGGGCTTCTCTGACATTAGAAAGAGGGTGTTTAAAGGGCCTAAAATCAGCTTCCAGTTCCTTACGAGAAGGAATTGGTGCGATATAAAACCAACGCCAATTTTTAGGAATTTTAAACACGAAAACACTTATCCGTAGAGTTTGGTTGGCTTTCCCATGGTGGTCTTGATGTGCAAGCTCTTGATGTTGTTCCATCCCTTCTTGAGGAGAGATATCAAGAAGTTGATAGTGGAGACGAGGTTCTCCTCAATCTCTTCCTTAGTGAGTTTCTCATTTCCGACGGCAACAGACATACAGAGGACCTTCTTGAGTTGGAACTTAACAGAGGATTTGATCTCATCGATCTTATCCTTCAATGGGATAGCATGAGTTACAACTTGAGGGAACATGCCAATCTTGGTCAAAGTTGGACCCAGTACTCTTGGGATCTTTCTTGAGAGAGTATCGGTAGCCAAAAGCAATTGGTATTTCTTGGCCCATCTCTTGATGAGTTTCTTGTCCTTGTTGAACTTTTTGAGAGCGTCCAAAGGCATGAAGTCAATGCCTAATTCCTTAGCTTCTTCTCCGTGTTGGACATCAGCAATGATGCAGATCTTGATGTTAGTCTTGCACAAGTGAGCAAGTCTGATGGTTCCAGAGAATCTCTTGTCTTTCTTTGGATCGTAATCCTTAAGTCCGATCTGGAGTTCGATGGTCTCAGTGAAGTTTCTCTTCTTTCTGTTTTCCAAGATGAAGTCAATACCCTCTTCGAATTCTTCCTTAGTGATTTTACTATAAACAAAGTTTAGAGTCAACTTTAAATGAAGTCGCCTGACTTTAGACTGGAGTATTCTTCAAGAGAAATGTCTCTTGAGGGTATGGTTAGAAATATCCACTTACCTCATATTTTATTTAATAATAACAAAAATTGTATATAAGCTATATTTATATGGTCTTAAGGGGTTTTGGGGTTTTGGGGTTTTGGGGTTTTGGGGTTTTGGGGTTTTGGGG